AAAAAAATTAGACTGTTACCCTAAAGGAAGTTAGTTCCTGTTAAAGGCTGCACTGCATGAGGTTTCAATATGTAATGACAAAATGTGTTGTTTACTTACTACCCTGGAGCTATTTCATTTAAACCTCCCAGCAGTCTTATGGGGTAGATAGTTTTACACTCCCTGTTGTACAGACGAGGCTCAGAGAACGTGGGTTACTTTTCCAAGATCATATAGCATAAGGCAGAGTCTAAGTTAGAATCTAAGAATTTGGGCTTCAGAGTGGCATTGAAAAAGACTAATGACTTGAAGGCTTCTGCAGTTCTGTATATTGTTACACATTGTGAATTTTTTTTATGTATGCATGTATAAATGTATAGGTGTTTGTTTGGTTCTGCCCCTGATTCTTCAACTAATCTTGTCTCTAATCAGAGGAAATAGATAAGATCCTGGACTTGTAGTACAGAGGCTCAACCTTGTCTTCTACTCTTGACTCATTCAGGTCTTATACTTAATTTTAGGGACTGAACTCTTGTCTTGTGATCAGCTTCCTCTTGTGCCTTTTTATTTCCATTTTGGTCATGGGCTACATTCCAGTTCTGATTCTGCATGTTGTTCTGCTATAAAATTAAAGTAGTCAAGTTGTGTGACCTTGAACCTTGAATACTTGAATCTTCCAAATATTTAAGTTTACACAAAGCTCAGTCTGATTTACCCCTCCACCATGTGAGAGAATAAATCCAACACTTATCAGTTGGTAGCAGCCTTGGTGACTGATTGCATCGGGGGAGGGAGTATATCTTCATTGCTACTATCACTGCCTCTCTAGCTAGATAGATGAGATGGATATTGAACATGACTCTGCTCCACACTTCTGGCCTGAATTGTTGGATGGATGCTGATGCCTCCATATGGGATACAGAAGGAATTACAATTGAAGATGAGACCAAGAAAAGGATCAAGAATGAAGCCAGTTTGATGACTGGTTGGATAGTGGTGCCACCAACTAAAACAGAAAATCTGAAAGAGAAAAATGTTTAGGGAGAGTGTAGTAAGTTATGAACATAATTTTGGACATAGTAAGTTTAATATGCCTTTGACAATGAAGGTAAGTATATAACTCGAGTTTAGGACAGGGTTAGTGTTAGAAGAAAGATATGAGTGTTAGGTAGATAGATAAGTGGGTGCACCAGGCAGATGAGTAGAGGAGAGGAAGAATGGTCTGGAAGATGGCACTGTGCCCGCCTCCAGCATAAAGGGACTTTACTTCTAAATGAGCGCCAGCAAGAAACCGGTTAGAATCCCACAGCCACGACTGTGCGCGGTAGCGGAAAGGACTTAACCAATGTGACTCAATGTTCATTGTATTATAATTAACATGGCGATTTAGATCAACCCCAAGGGTTTTTCTGTATCTGTCATGGGCAAGGACATGTGCAAAGGGGCCAAACATGACTAAGCACTCCAGGGACAAGAGCCGTCAATCAATCAAGAGACCGCCTCTAAGCAAGGGCGTGAGAGAAAGGGGGACAAAAACCGCCGCTTCTCCTCCCTTGGATCAGCCCGCCTCCCGTTCTTGGAGGTGTGCTTGTCCTTTTCTAAATAAATCTTTTAAAATCTTTCACTGCACAACACACCATCTCCCTATTTATCTTCCAGGTATGACAAGAATTGGGGTCTTTACCTTTTCGGGTAACATGAAGGTTATCCACCTAAGATTTTATGTCTGTAGTGGCAAAGCCACTGAATGGTTTGAGGGACGGGGAATATATTAATTCCCAATAATATTTTAAACTACATCTTAAATAAAAATACACTGGCCCCCTGTATCCGTGGGATGGAGAAACTGTTGATATGTCTGACCGACTACAATGCACCATTTTATATAAGTAATTCCAGCATCCTTAGATTTTGGTATCTGCGAGGCAGCCCTGGAGCCAATCCCTCACAGATACTGAGGGCCAACTGTAATGAAAATATTTTCCATGTGAAGATTTGTGCTTTCTTATACTTATGTAAAAGCCAAATAAGATTTTATAAAACACTGATATTTTTATTGACTATAATATACAGCCTAAATTAAAGCAGTGAACTTGCTCTGCAGCTGTGACTTCAACTCAAGATCCTCAGCTTCACCAGATCTCCACTCTGCAGCCCAACTTCTGCAGAGTTTTGAAGCCACCGTTGCTTGTCTAATATACAAATGTCTGGGCTTCCCTTTCATTAAGACAGTCAAGACTTTGCTGGTTACAAATTCAGTATGTTTTAAGAGGAGGTTCTACTTTTATTTACTGTTGAACAGCATATGAGATAATTCATGAGGACAGTAAATAATTCCCCTCTAAAATTACAGAGTCAGTGGGAGCAGAAGTGCAGTATGATGTGTTTCTGAAACCCAATCTTGTGCCCACCATTTGCAGTAATGCTGGAATTTATAGAAAGTCATCAATTTAAATACAGCTGTAGATGATAATTTTATACATGAGTGGCTGATTAATCAAAGATAATATTTGTATTTAGTCATAACACTATTACTTCCATAAGCTAGTTTTCTTACCAGCCTCATTTCCATTTATACCATATTTTTGTATTCAATAAACTAAATTTTACATAAAAATTAGCACTGTGGGTTAAGAGAAAGAAATAGTGTTCACTCAGTAAATGGAGAATGATTACTTTTATATTATATTTTCAGAACTGTATTTTGTGAACTCTTCTTAGTGTTACGAAATTAAAAAATAATGAGTATAAACTTATACATTTAAAAATACCTATTGGACAGGTGATTAAAAGTCTTAGTAATTACTGTAAACAGAATTTCAATAGTAAGCATTTGTGCCAAAATACATCCTATTCTACCTATAATCTTTCAACAAACTTTTATCTCATCTTTCTTCTCATGGAATGCAAGCAAAGGGCTATCTGTGACTGTCTGAACAACTGGATAGATGGGACACCAGCACAAGGGTTAGTCCTGATTTTCCTATGAAATACTTGACTTTCATCATTTGGAAAATTATTTTTTAACACTACTTTGTGATTACAACACTCCTTCCCTTCTAAAATGTGTGTGCCCCACTATACGCTAAATATTTTCAATAGCATGCTTGTATGTTGCTTGATAGTAAGGAGTGTGTCTTTTCCATTTTGGGTAACACCTGGCACAATTCCTAGCATGTAATAAATAGGTGCTTTACACTGTCTGCAACTAATGGTGGATTTTATTTTTCAGATTTATTGAGTATGATCCGTAATTCTCAAATAATCCTGTTGCTGTTAATGCCTATTCTCTGGTGATACAAAAACGTGCCCAATTTAGACAGGAAGCATGGCTGTGCATTTTTAAACTGTGTCACTCCTAAAAATATTTTAACAAATATTCCTTTCTTCCTTCTGAATTCAGCGCAAAGGTTATCTCTTCTGGGAAGCATTTTTAAGTCAGAATCAATCATTCACCTCTAGCCCCTCAGCAGGAGTATAATAGGATCTATATGTTGAACATAATTTACGTGGTGCACTCTTTTGCCTTTCTGAGTTAAACTCCACTGAAGAGATCATTCTGCTTTGATTTCGTTAAGGTTTCTTCCAAAAGAAATGAAAAGGAAAAGTCTGGGGTAGTAATTAGTATTCAAGAATAGAATTTGCAGCAAGGCCATAATCTGGATTTCAGTGACTGACAACTGGACTTTCCAAATTTCATTATCTATCATTAGCATAGACTTAGGAACGTGGTCCATAGATTTTTACATAAGCGTTCTCGACAGGAAGAGGATAGGGAAAAAGCAGTCTGTCTCCTTCTGGTCCTGGAAAAATGTGTCAAGAAAAGAGAGACGTGGGAGGCTACGATGAAGAGACACATCCTTTCTATGAGTAAAGATATCACTGGAAGCAGAGTGAGGCCTTGCCCCCGTCCCTACTTGGGACTCTGCGTGGAGGACCCCTCAGACTTTTCTTTGTACCATCCTGGCTGGGGCTCAGCCATAACAGAGTTATGTTAACGGCACAACCTGGAATTTTATTTCTCCAATTCACTCTTACCCTTTCCTGTGTATTATAGGCCCCTGGGTAGCTAAGAGTCTGACTGGCGGTGTGCCAAGACTTGGCAGTGTGGTCTGTTTCTGTGAGTGGACCACCTAGGCTGGTACTGAATGCGACACTCAGCTTAGTGTTTATAGCAGCAACACAAGCAAAAATGAGGCTGAACCTGCTAGGAGAGCAATCTACACATCGTGGAAGCCAAAAGAATGGTTCACAATTTTCTTGCTCAGATTTTAGCACTGGATGACTACAGAGCATCCAGAAACTAGGCACTCAAGGAACATCACTAGAAGAGCCAGACTACTTAACAAAGGAACTTCCCATCCCTGCCACCCTTACCCCACACCCAGATGCCCTGTTGGAGAGGAACCTGGGAGGCAGAACAAAGAGTAAGAAATCTGAGAGACTGGAAACAGTTTCCTGGAGTTCCTGAATATTATCTCAATCTATTATTTCAATTGATGTACTGGATTAAGTTTTAAACTGAGTTGGACAAGTAGTTAATGTTTCTCCCAACAAACCAGAGGCAAGGTCTCTTGAAGAAGACCAGGTCAGCTATAGACAAAGCAAAGAAACTGCATGTTTTCTAAGAATTAAATTTTGTAAACTAGCTTCATATTTTTATTTAAGAAAAATGAAATTTATTCTTCCCAAATGTTTAATTTATACACCTACTGGTTCTTTCCATATTCTTTTATAGAAAATAATGTATGTACCCGTCTTTGTATTAGTCTTCAAGGCTGCCCTAAAGAATACCCCAGACTGGGTGGCTTCAATGACAGAAATTTACTTTTGCAGAGTTCTGGAGG